ACCCCTAAAAGGGGCCAATCAAAATATTATGAGCAAATTTGATTAAAGACTACCTAAGAATGCTACTGACAAAGTTTGGTGATCATCCATCAATTAGTTCTGTAGAAATAGACGTTTAAAGGTTTTTCTATTTTTAGCCATAGAGACCCCTAAGGGGCCAATTGGAATGACAGCAAATTCAAGTGTGACTGTCACAAGGATGCTACATACCAAAATTGAAGTAAATCTGCTTAGAAGTTTCAACGAAAAAGGCGATTGTTGACGCATGACGCCGGACGCCGGAACACCCCCCTTTGATACTAATAGCTCAACCTGATCCTTCGGCTCTGGTGAGCTAATAAATCACATGTCGAACCTGTTATCAACATAAACACAGTACAAACAAAACCACAACATGTACTCTTACCAGTATATGGTACCAATCACATTCTGCATTACACTCTCTCTCCAGTGTGTGCTGCTTAGTCTGTAAGTTAAAAATAAGTATTGTGCACAAAAGAAATATATGTGACAGTAGTAATAGTTAATTCACCAGATTTTGCCATTTCAATTCCATGTACACAAAATATGCAATATAACATATACGTCTAAAATAGAGCCGAAAACAAAGAAACGAATGTTATACTCATTTCAATAGAAGCTCATGTAACACAACAAATACTAAATATACATACCAAGATATATTTCCTTATAAAAAATAAGATAAACTTTCAAAAGTTTACCAAGACAACAAGCTCACCTGTTACACAGAAAAACGTAGGCCGCACTGAAAACCCCGCAAATCAACATGTGATACAATAAAAATAACTATCAACCAATCAAAACACAGTTTGCCAACCATAACGTTCAAAGTGCATGGCAATGATAAAACTCTTACAAAATACATTGAAAACACAGTCAGGACTGTCTGGTCACATGTTTTTACAGCAAAAAACTCAAGTTTGGGAAGAATTTGTACTGACACGTTGTCCGGACTTTTCTGCATTGCTGTAAAACAAAATAAAACATTCAAGAGCTATTTATAAAAATGTTGAGGCAAATAGAGTCTATTCAAATGCCAAAACATTTTTTTTTCAGTTTTTAATTGCTGTAGTGGCATTTCTGCTAGAAACCAAAAATTCCAGTTTTTAAGCTTTCTTTGCAGAATTCTTGTCTAATGTAGTAGGATATGTTGAAATTGCAACAATACTGTGTCCTTTTTCCGCTGCTGTTTTTGATGAAAAATATGATCCACAAAATAGACGCCTTTTGTAATTAATTTAAACATGTCATACAAAACTATAATAATGATGTATTTTTAAAATAATATTTTCTTCTCTTGAAACACATTAATCTTATTTGTATTCAAGGTAATTGTAAATTTATCATACCGGTTTACCTCCACGTAATGGCACACAATTAGAAACAATTAACCCCGGTACGGAGGTTATGAACCCTAATTGACTGGTGTCAATTCGTACAATGCTGATTTTAAATGAACATTTTCCTTTATTTTGCGTAATAAAGTATAACTTGTTTGAGGTTTCAGAACACTGTATGATTTTAGTCTAACTATTGAGTGAATATGCAAATCTTCTTCTTAAGGAACATATGTTTGACCTATACGTAACCTCTGAAGATCGCAATACAAACGTACTCCAGATTTAGATAACCAATCTTTTCCTAAAGTAACATTTTTTTGTATTATCTGATACTACGAGAAACTTATGATTTAATTTTGTTCCCCAAATCCTAAATGGTAAATCTACACTACCTACAACTTTAAGTTGTTTACAACTAACTGACTGTAAAAATATATTATGCTTTTTATTTAACCTAGGTTGAATAGACAAAGTATCATATATACGTTAATGTAATAAACTTACTTCTGCACCTGAATCAACTAAAGCCTTCGCCTTACATTTTCCTATCTTAGTAAGACAAGATACTGGGTTACCAGATAAATTTATACTATAACTACTAGTTTTTCTACAATTACTATTATTTCTATTTTCTCGATAAAATAAGTTATTATTTCCAAATTTACTATTTTTGTTTTTGCAAGTACTTTTTAGCTCACCTGTCACAAAGTGACAGGGTGAGCTTTTGTGATCGCTTTTCGTCCGTCGTCCGTCCGTCATCCGTCGTCCGTAAACTTTTACTTTAAAAGACATCTCCTCATAAACCACTAGGCCAATTTCATCCAAACTTCACAGGAATGTTCCTTTGGTGGTCACCTTTAAAAATTGTTCAAAGAATTTAATTCCATGCAGAACTCTGGTTGCCATGGCAACCGAAAGAAAAAACTTTAAATATCTTCTTTTAAAAAAACCCTAAGAGCTAGAGCTTAGATATTTGGCATGAAACATCTTCTAGTGAGTGTCTACCAAGTTTGTTCAAATAAAAGGCCTGGGGTCAAAATTGGCCCCGCCCCAGGGGGTCATTGATTTTCCCTATATGCATATAGTAAAAACTTAAAAAATCTTCTTTTAAAGAACCCAAAGAGCTAGAGCTAAGATATTTAGCATGAAACATGTTCTAATGAGTGTCTACCAAGTTTGTTCAAATGAAAGCCCTGGGGTCAAAATTGGCCCCGCCCCAGGGGGTCATTGATTTTTCCTATATGCATATAGTAAAAACCTAAAAAAATCTTCTTTTAAAGAACTCAAAGAGCTAGAGCTAAGATATTTAGCATGAAACATGTTGTAATGGGTGTCTACCAAGTTTGTTCAAATAAAAGCAATCGGGTCAAAATTGGCCCCTCCCCGGGGGTCATTGATTTTCCTTATATGTGTATAGCAAAAACTTAAATCAAAGTGCTGCAGCACTGAATGCGACTGACATGCAACCGGAGAGACATTAAGGCCTTCTTTTAGAAAAAAAAAAAAAAAAAAAACAACAAAACACAAAATATATAACAGAGAAAATTTGTTCCATACAAGTTCGAGATTTGTAGAGCAATATATTTTGTGTCCCAAATTGATATAATTCAGATTTTCTACTTTCAAGCACTTAAATACAGAATGAAATTTATGCCTAAAAACTCTGGTCATACTTGTAAATCAGTGTCCTTATCGATTTATTCTAAGAAATGATATGTAAATAGAAAAACTATCCACGAAATATTTCTAGAATAAATCCAGGCAAATAAACTTCAAACATAATACATTATACATTTGAGAATGCTATTTAGAATTGCTTCGTGTTATATCATAGTGGGCATACAGACAATAAAATATAAGTCATTTGTATTTTTATTTCTCTTGGATATGTCTCATTAAAAAAAAAATTGGTTAAAATCATCCGCAATTAATAGTGTATTTCTTAGATTTTTTTTTATTTACAAGGTAAAGATGTAGAGGCCAGAGCACATCGTTTTTATTTTAATTTAGATGTCACTTAAGCACTACAGTGTTTAGTTGTCCTTTTCAACTTCACACTAAATTCCATTTTCAACTTGTTTGCTTCTTACAATTGTATAGAATTTCTAAAAGTATTGCATGTAATCCGCTGGTTTATTAATTTCATGTTTAATGTGTACTTCCTAATCGCCTGTCCAAAAATCAGAACAGGTGAAGCAGAATCTATTTTTAGAATAGCGAAGGTTAACTCATATCATGACCTAGTAAAATATGTAAACAAACCACAAGAATCGGAAGTAGAACTAATATTATAACTTCCTTACCATGAAAGACTACATGGCAGTAAAGTGTACATGGCGGTAAACTCTCTTCTTAAATGCATTTTCAAAAATAGATATTTATACTAACCATTGTACTGTATCTAATATATTAATAACTGCTGAATATTCAGCTAAACCCGCGGTATGAGTCACGAAAATAGTTCTTCTTTTATTAATGCGCGAGTTATCTTAGAGTCACGAAAAACTTTTGATTTGTTAATAATAATGTTTTGTATAATGCAGAAATATTTATTTCCTACTAATAATGTCTTGGAACTCAGAGGTTACACCTATATTGTAGTATAATTTGCTGTCCTACTTTTTCGACAGCGGTAAATCGTTTCAGCAGTAATTTGCATATTGCGCAATAATACTACGGGACTACAACGCTTTTATCAATAATATACGTTCATATTTTAACTTGGATAACTTAATTTGAAATTGAAAAGGCTAAATATGGAAGACATTAAGATATCCAGACAAAGTATGGGAGTTTTGAAGGATCAAATTCATGTACTATTTCTTGGGCTGTTAATTGGTTTAGGACACATTGCGCGATTGTAGCCAACGAAATCCCATGTGTAGATGACTTAGCTCTGAACGCGCCTGAGGGCGCGTCCGTCGCAAAAATCTTCTTTGAAAAAACCCATATAGCTAGTGTTTAGATATTAAGCATGAAACATCTTCTAGTGAGTGTCTACAAAGTTTGTTCAAATAAAAGACCTGGGGTCAAAATTGGCCCCGCCCGGGGGTCATTGATTTTCCTTATATGTGTATAGCAAAAACTTAAAATCTTCTTTGAAAAAACCCAAATAGCTAGAGTTTAGATATTAAGCATGAAACATCTTCTAGTAAGTTTGTTCAAATAAAAGCCCTGGGGTCAAAACTGGCCCCGCCCCAGGGGTGTCATTGTTTTTAACTATATATGTATAGTAAAAACTTAAAAAAATCTTCTTTTTAAAAGCCCAATGAGCTAGAGCTTAGATGTTTAGCATGAAACATCTTCTTATGGGTGTCTACCAAGTTTGTTCAAATAAAAGCCCTGGGGTCAAAATTGGCCCCACCCCAGGGGGTCATTGATTTTCCCTATATGCATATAGTAAAAACTTCTTTTTTTCTTTTTCTTTTTTTAAAGAACTCATATAGCTAGAGCTAAGATATTTAGCATCAAACATGCTCTAATAGGTGTCTACCTAGTTTGTTAAAATAAAAGCCCTGGGGTCAAAATTGGCACGGCCCCGGGGGTCATTGATTTTCCTTATATGTGTATAGCAAAAACTTAAAATCTTCTTTGAAAAAACCCAAATAGCTAGAGTTTAGTTATTAAGCATGAAACATCTTCTAGTAAGTGTCTACAAAGTTTGTTCAAATAAAAGCCCTGGGGTCAAAACTGGCCCGGCCCCAGGGGTGTCATTGTTTTTAACTATATGTGTATAGTTAAAACTTTAAAAAAATCTTTTTTTAAAAAGCCCAATGAGCTAGAGCTTAGATGTTTAGCATGAAACATCTTTTTATGGGTGTGTGTGTGTGGGGGGGGGGGGCTATATACAGGTGAGCGACCTCAGGGCCATCATGGCCCTCTTGTTTTACTACTCCCAATATCGGCTTCTGCATACGAGGAGATATCTAGTTTAAAGGTTGGCCTTTGTTGTTTTTTCTACTCTGCAGTCTTCTTCAGGTAATTTACGCGAATGTGTCCTCGCTCACCACATGCCCAATATATTCGGTTCGAATCTTTGGATTCACAGCAGTCTATTGCATTGACATTTATACTATTCGTCCTATCTATTTACGCAACAGCATCTTGCCGTGTGCCCCTTCACATTACATAACTGACAACTTTGTGGCGGTCACTGATGGTCAACTTCCATAGGTTCTTCATTACATGCAGAAGAACGCTCGGTCCCTTGATTGCTACCGTACTCCCTTCCTGTACGCAAAGAAAACCGTTTACGTAAGTTCTGTTCATAAACGGCTTGACGTTTTAGCTGCTTGCAGAGATCTGCGGTGCATACTGAAAATACTCATGGGCAAGACCATCAATAAAATAGCTGGTCAAATTAAATAGCTAAGCCCCTTTGCTGTCCAATTTTGAGCACATTTGTCTGTAAGTCCAGATATCAATGGTCAGACACACACTTGTTGCCAAACTTAGCTTATGTTTCAAATTGGACACAATTTCAACAGATTTGTCATGAAGTAATTTTCCCGACAGATGTTTTCTTGATGACATTTGGTATTTTGGATCACACTGTTCAATTAGACAGTGGTATCAAATCACCAGCAATGAACATCAATAATGCCTAAGTGATTTTAACTTGGCGATGATCATTTTTGTCATATTTCTTGGTCTTTTCTTGAGGCCTTTTCAATAACTGGTCAATAGGAACATTTGTATCTTCTGTGACATGAAACTTTTTACCAGGTCCACTTGGTTTCTGTTTCAACTCATCAGCTGACTTGGGATGTAAACGCTGAAACACAATTTATGTACATAGTGAAAAAGAACGCAGAGAAATTGTCATACACCGCCAAATTTCAATTCAACAATATCATACCCGAGTTTTAATTTTAATGCAAGACAAAAACCTTTTTATATAAATTTGCAGCTTGTTCTGTGAAAAAAGCCATTGATAACCTTACCTTCAAATGTGTAATTAAGTTTGATGTTCTCTGAATATTTCCTGATATATATGAAACGCAAAGTGTGCATTTAGCTCTCACATTGCCATCATCAGGAATTTTTTCTGGCAATATGAAGTATTTAAAAACAGCAGGCATATTTCCTGCCATGCTTGCGTATTGCTTCCTTTTCCATATGATTAAAATCTTTTTGTACTTTCTGCTTCTACATGGACTTAACAATACCAAAATGTAACAGAAAATATAACCATATCTCACTTTTGTCAGTAATTGCAGCTTATACTTGCTCTTTACTGAACCTGTAAAGTCTTCTCAAGTGATAATATACATATCCAGGCCATTGTTATAATTTCACAGCTAAATTTAAGTGGTATATTTGTGACAATCATTTATGTATTGGGTCAATCTGTCAGTGATCATTTCATCAACTTATTAAAACAAAGGTGTCATCAAATCTGACCTGGGTGACTGCATTTAATTCACCTACACTACACGAAGACAATTAGTAGGCATTGACACTGATACTTTTTTAAACCTTTATATGTATGTTTGTTCAGCAATTCTTTTAGCTTAACGTGTATTGTAATCATTAACATGTTGTAATCATTCTTGTGATTACCTGATAATTGGTCATGTAATTGATATCTAAATTACTGATTCCAATTACAGGAAAAAAAATTTATTGAATTACTGATTACTTGTGATTACTCAAAAAATTGTAATCGATTTAATTAAATAAATTACCAATTACGACTTACCCCATTGTCTGGCATTCATCAGACGAGTACTTCCACCCTCAAATACTTTTCAAAAACCTTTTTCTCATTTCCTTACCATTTTTTTTCGAGCTCTTTCAACTTTTTTTTATTTTGCGTTCTCATCACTCAATCTTTGCTTCTTTCTCCGCTTTTCTGACAACTCACTTCTTTTTTTCTCTCTCTCTCTCTTCTGACACCGCTCTATTGCCAGGTCCAAAAATTTCCCTTTTTTGCTTTTAACTTTTACTGCGAGGATTCGCTGGGTACATGCCCCTGTGTATTGCTTTTGGCATTAATTGGTTGACAATCGTGCTCTACTAGTTGTTGCTAGATTCCAAAAATATCAGAAATTTGTAAAAATTGGTGAGGTTTGGTTACCTACCTCTAAAGTTTGAGACAACTTTGCAGTGGTAAAAACAACCTTCTTAGCAAACAGTTAGCTGAACCAATGTGTCTTAGTCTAAAGTATTTACACATTATATTTAATAATGAACAAAAATCTGCAAGAATTTCAAGATAAATATTATTTAGGTTATTAGTAATTGTGATGTGACTTGTACAATAACAGGCACATATGCCTGATTTCTGTATTTATATTGTTTTCAATTTTCTTATATATGCTTACCTTTAGCATTGAATGACCAACGGTTGCTTCATTGTGGAATTTGTTATCCGTAAAGATAAAAATCTCGTCAACTGGTCTCATCTTATGTTTGTTAAATAATTTTTTTATTAACCAGGTTTTCGAAAGGAAAAAAAAAACTGGTTATGAAGCTTTGTCATCAAGTGCCCTGGCGCATATTGTTGGGGTTTGTATTGGTAATTATTGACCCTAATTATTTGGTTTTGTTGTTTTCCTGCCTAATTAGATATTATTTTTTGGAATTTTTTTTTAAATTCCCTTTTTTTTTTTTTGGTTTGGCAATTTTTCCCCTTTTTCATTTCTAAAGGATTTTGAAAATTTCACAAAAGCTTTCATCAATGCCCATGCATATTTTTGGGGTTTTGTTGGAATTTTTGGGAAAATTTTTTTACCTAAATTATGGCCCTTTTTTTTTTTCCTAAAATTTTAAATTATTATTAAATTTTTCCCTTTTAATCCACAAAAACTTTTTTGTTTTAAAACAAAACTTTGGTTTTCATCCTGACTATTGTGTTTTGGTTAATACAAAATAATCCCTTTTTTTTTTTCCCTTTTTTTAAAAAGGTTGGTAAAAATCAAAAAATTGGAATTCAAACCTTTTCAAAATAAACTAAAGTTAGTTTTTTCAAGTGGTAGCTATTTGGAATTTTGTTAAGTGGAATTTCCCCTAATTAAGGTTTTGCTTTTCCAAAATTTAAATTATATTGAAAAACCTTTAAAACCACAGAAAAAATTATTTAGTTTTTTAAACTGGTTTGTTAAAAGGGCCCCAAAACGGCGTTGCGAAAAAAATCAAAAAACTTATTTTTTCCATTCCAAAATTTTGACTTGGTCCCAAAAGTAAAAATTTCCCCTTTAACCTTTCCCCAATACAATAGTGATTTTTTAAGGGAAAATTGATATAGCTTTTTTTTTTTTTAAGGTAAAAAAAATTTTTGTTAAGCCAACCCATTTTCCTGAAAAAAAGGATTTTCCCCAGTGAAAAAAAATTGGGGCCAAAAAATCAAAAATTTTTTTTTTTTAAATTTTTTTTGGGATTGAAAAATTCGGGTAAAGGGCCCCAAAATGAAAAATTTTGTTTTGTTTTGTAAAGTTTTAAAAGGGGAAATTCTGAATCAAAATAAAAAAAGTTTGCAAGGACCAAAACTTAGGAATCTTTTTTTCTGTATTTCCCCCTTTTTCCTTTTTTCCCCCTTTAATTTCCCCAAATTAAAAACCCCAGTTCTAAGGACAATTGTAATCCATATGAAAACTGTTGGGACCATTTTTTCTTTTTTTGTTTATTTGGGGTTGGAAGAACAATGTTTATGGTAAGAGCTACCCAACCTCCTTTGTTAAACCTGAAACCAAAAGGGGAATTTTGCTTTCCTGTTGGGAAATAAAATGAGGGAAAAAGAACAACAGAAATCAATATATTTGTTTTTCCAAAATTCTTTTTATCCGCCCACAGATTGGAAGCATTATAGGCGTTGCACTTGTCCCGTCCGAGTGTTCCGTACGTCTGCCGTCCGTCTGTATTCTTTCCGTAAAACGTCCCGAAATTTGTGAAAAAACGCCAAACTCCTCTTAAACCGAGATGGCAGATTTTGCTTAAACTTCCCAAAAAGGGAAAAAAAATTTGAACAACCTTAATTTTTGTTTAAAGATGGTAGTAAACGAAGGGAAGATTTTTGCTGCGACCAAATCTTAACAGAATTATGGCCCTTTGTTGATTTGTTCACTATAACTATGTTAAGAAATGTGAACGCAACTCCTCTTTTTGCTTAAACCGGATGGCAGATTTTGCTTAAACTTTCAGGGATGAACAAACCTTTAATGTGTAGATGGTTGTAAAGGAAGGAATTTTTGCTGCGACCAAATTTAACAGAATTATGGCCCTTTGTTGATTTTTTAACTATATACCATATAGAAATTTTGTGAACGCAACTCCTCTTAAACTGGTTGGCAGATTTTGCTTAAACTTCCAGGGATGAACAACCTTAAAGTGTGTGTAGATGGCAGTAAAAGAAGGAATTTTTGCTGCGACCAAATTTACCAGAATTATGGCCCTTTGTTGATTTTTTCACTATATACTATATAGGAATTTTGTGAACACAACTCTTAAACCGGATGGCAGATTTTAATAAAAAGTTCCACATAAAAATCTTTCATACAGATATACAGCATGCTCTTGTTTACTAGCACATCTGCACAGTTGGGGCATCCGTGTCCTTTGGACACAATTCTAGTTATAGTTATATACATAGTTTAAAGATAAAATGGTTTAAAATATATATGTTATAATATAGTTTTAGCAAAAATAAATGTTATAAGCTACTAAACACATTGATATTGATAAAGTTTTTAACACTGGAAAACTGTTTTGTAATAAGATAACAAATGCTTTCTGGATTGATGTTTTAAAGGCTTATATGGTATTTGTTAAACTTTGTAAAGATGATATAGAGCAAGTATTACATATGCCACTTTTTACAGTCACAACATTTTTAGCAATCTACATTCAGACAGTGTATAATAAAGGAATCAGATTTGTTAAAGACATTCTAAATGAAGAGTGTAATTTTGTTGATTTGATATATTTAGAACAGGTTACATGCAATCCTGTAATTTTTTTTTACAATATCATAGTTTAAAACAGGCAATAAAATTGTACATGCAAAAGTTTAATATTTTGATTAGTAACACTTTATGTTCAATACCCTATAAAAAGCTGTTATATGTAATATATTTTAACTATGAATAACAATTTGAAATATGTTCATAAAATTATAGCCAAACATCCAGAAGTACCAACAAGAAAGGTGGAACACATATTTTAATTTTAGACAATTACATTAAATGGCATTTGAAATATAGTTATGTTTTCAAATGTTCTAAAGATTCATATATTTAATGGTTCCAAACAAAAATTATTCATAGAAATTTAGCTACAAGTTCACTTTTGTTTACAATGAAAATTATTGACAATAAGATATGTACTTTTTGTAAATGCTGTAAAGAAACACTTTTACATTTATTTTGGGAATGTCAGAAAATTCAAATCCCATTACAATATCTGAGAGATAACTTGCGTTATTTTGATGATATGTTCTGTTGTAAATCATTCATATTAGGTTCGAAAGCTAAAAATTTTAAGTGCTACATATTGCTTTTAGAATTGCAAACTATATTAATTTGTCTAAGAGAAAAAACTTCTTACTTACATGTATTGTTTTTAAAGAGTTTGAAATAAGCATGGAATATCTCTAGAAATACAAATTTAACAGAAGATGAAAATAATAGATTGGCAATTCCTTGTAAGAGTTTTAATTGTTTAAACTTCACTAAAAAAGGGAAAAAAAAGAACTTTAGCTCGTAACAGGTAAATTAATTGTTTAATGAAAAGTAGTAGTTTTGGTTGTTAAAAATAGTTTTAAAAATAGATGCAATTATTGTATGTATGTTAATTATTTTATTTATGTACATGTATATACTGTATGTCTGTTTGATATTATTAACATTAACACAATTATTATGTAATATATACATTGAATATTAATAATGTAAGGTATGATTGGGGATGACCCCGACCCCCTCATACCTATTACGGGGTAAATAAACGGGGTTACCCAGATGGGGCCTCAAAAAACCTTTCCTTTTATCTTGAAGAAACAACCTTATAATAATCAACCCTATGTAGTCCCAGAAATAACTTTTTGCCCCGTTAGTACAGTTTGTATTTATGAAGTTTATACGAACAGGCAAACATTCAATGGTTTATGATTATATTCATAAGAAGAAAAGAATTTTAGGCATATTATGTTGTACACCCTGGCATCCATCCATCCGTCTGTTAGCAATTTGGTTTCCGGAGCATAACTTAAGTTCCATTTGTCTCACAATATTCAAACTTCATAGGATGATTGTCCATATTGGGTAAAAGACTCGTATTGATTTAGAGTCAAAGGTCAAGATCACTTTTACGTTAAAACTGAAAACAGTTTCCGGAGCATAACGTAAGTTCCATTTGGCCCACAATATTCAAACTTCATAGGATGAGTGTCCATATTGGGTAGAAGACTCCTATTGATTTTAAAGTTACAAGGTCAAGGTCACTATTACCTTAAAACTAAAAAATAGTTTCCGGAGCATAACTTAAGTTCCATTTTGCCCACAATGTTCAAACTTCATA